AAAAAAAAAAAAAAAAGAATATATGTATTTGAAATTATAAATTTTTAGGCACATATGCACTAGAAGAATATGTACATTTCAGTTTGTTAATGCTTGGGCCGACATACACTTCTTTATGTTTGACATTTTGAAATAAAGGTTGATAAATAGATAAAACCAACGGTCTACAAATGGAGGCTGGTGCAGGTATGTTGTGTTGTCAATTCCAACCATGAGTCACATTGCCATTAGCAATGTGAGTTTCCAAAATACTGACTAAGTATGGTAGTCAGTAAAGCCAAAAAAAAAAACCAAGTATAATTCTTGCCTTAATTTTCCTCAATTTACATGGTAGTACATACCTGGGAATTCAGTATCTGTTACACCATGCAAGAAATACTTTGTATAGTATTCATGTATAAATTGGAATTAGATTATAGGCTAAGTTTCGTTTTTCTTCTTTAAACTTACATGACTATCTGAGAAGACATTCAAATGTTATGGGACAGTTTGTTCACCATGTGGAACTGGCCTGAACGTTGTGTGTCCTTAGTATCCCTGCCTCTCCATCCACTAAAATATTCTTCAACATTAATATTATGACAATCCGAAATACCTGCTTAAATGCCTTCACTGAGAGCCACTGGGCTGGGTCACCCAGTGTCAATAATATTATAAAATATCCCACATTTGGTGCCATACTATAAAACTTACCAGTGTAAATGCATTTCTATTAGGAAATCAGTTTATCAAATTTAAGTCTGCAAAATTAATCTTTAATTCTATTTTTGCTGTAAAGAAATAAACCTCTAATACAGTGATTTTCTTTTCTTTTCTTTTTTTCTTGAGAAAAAGTCTTAGTATGTCGCCCTTCATAGAGTGCTGTGGTGTCACAGCCTCAAGCTGTCACCCTGGGTAGAGTGCTGTGACATTACAGTTCACAGCAACCTCAAACTCTTGGACTTAAGTGATTCTCTTGCCTCAGTCTCCCAAGTAGCTGGGATTACAGGCGCCCACCACAACACCTGGGGTTTTTTTTTTTTTTTGGCTGGAGGCTGGGTTTGAACCCACCACCTCCGGTATATGGGGCTGCTGCCCCACCCCTTTGAGCCACAGGCGATGCCCACACCTGGCTATTTTTAGAGACAAGGTTTCACCCTGGCTCAGGCAGATCTCGAACCTGTGAGCTCAAGCAATCCACCTGCCTTGGCCTCTCAGAGTGCTAAGATTATAGGTCTCTCAAACCACCACACCCGACCTTAATATAGTGATTTTCAACCAGTGTGCTGTGAGAGGATCTTAGGTGTGCCATGAAATTTTTAAAGATCATTAATTAAAATTTTTTCAAAAGGGCTTGATGCCTGTGGCTCAAGCAGCTAGGGCACCAGCCACATACACATGAGCTGGCAGGTTGGAATCCAACCTGGCTCGACAAACAACAATGACGGCTACAACCAAAAGATAGCCGGGTGATGTGGCAGGCGCCTCTAGTCCCCACTACTTGGGAGACAGAGGCAAGAGAATCACTTAAGCCCAGGAGTTGGAGGTTGCTGTGAACTGTGATGTCACAGCACTCTACCCAGGGTGACAGCTTGAGGCTCTGTCTCAAAAAAAAAAAAAAAATTTTTTTTTTCTCAAAAGAAGTTCAAAGCACAGAAAGCATACTCTCTATTTTACTCCTCTTCTTCTTTTTTTAATCAACACAATTTAAGTGTGCTGCAGAAACTTAACTATAGGTTCATGTGTACTGTGGGATCAAAAAGGTTAATAAACACTGGTCTATAGGACTGATGATTCTCAACCAGGAGGGTTTCTGCTTCTTCCTGCAGAGACATTTAGCAATGTCTAGAGATGCTTTCGGTTGTCAAGGGAGGGTAGGTGCAACTGGCATCTAGTGGGTAGAGAGCAAAGGGCTGCTGCTGAATAGAGTGAGCTTCCGTTAGCTGAGTTTTGTAACTTTTGTTTTGCCATCAGATAGTCAAGTTGGAAATTACCAGTTCATTTTGAATATTTTGGAACTTTATGCTCAAAGATAAGCTTGGAGATCCTACATAGAGAATAAATTTTACCTTACATACATTTTTTCTTAAACACCTTGTAGATGTGAAGTATCTATTTTTCAGTTAGTTAAGGCCTTACTCATATTATTTTGGACAAAAGTAGTATTTTGAATATATTCGTAGATTGTTTTTTTTCCTTTGTGTAGTTTGAAGTCCTGAAGAAGTACCTTGACAGTGGTGGCGATATCCTTGTGATGCTAGGAGAAGGTGGAGAATCCAGATTTGATACCAATATCAACTTTTTGCTAGAAGAATATGGAATCATGGTTAATAATGGTAATTGTTGTTATTTTAAGTGGAGGTAGTAACAATATTCTTCATATCATAGCCCTCTAGGCCCAGTGGTAAAATGGAAAAAGCTCTGGGCTGAGGGTACATGGTTTAGTGTTCTGGTCTCACCAGTAGGCTGAGCCTTCTGGGCCTATGCTTATTCATATAAAATGAGAGGGATTGGAGCAGAGTTCCAGGGTTCTTTCAGGTAAAATTTATATGAGTCGGCTCAGCACCTGCAGCTCAAAAGGCTGAGGTGCCACTTACATACACCAGAGCTGGTGGATTTGAATCCAGCCCGAGCCTGCCAAACAATAATGACAACTACAACCAAAAATAGCCGGGCGTCGTTGCGGGTGCCTGTAGACCCAGCTACTTGGGAGGCTGAAGGAAGAGGATCGCTTAAGCCCAGGAGTTAGAGGTTGCTGTGAGCTGTGATGCCATGGCACTCTACCCAGGGAGACAGCTTGAGGCTCTGTCTTCAAGACAAAAAAGAAGGGGGCGGTGCCTGTGGCTCAAAAGGGTAGGGCGCTGGTGCCATATGCAGGAGGTGGCGGGTTCAAACCCAGCCCTGGCCAAAAAAAAAAAAAAATTTATATGAGTCTATGATACCAAACTTGATATCTAACCCAAAATATAACTTCTTCTCCTTGAAAGATGCTGTTGTTAGAAATGTATATTACAAATACTTCCATCCTAAAGAAGCTCTAGTTTCCAATGGAGTCTTGAACAGGTAAGCATGTCGAAAAGCAGAAGTGTCTCTACAAATGATTCTCTTCTCTCCTTCGTGCAACTTGTCATCTCTTCTCACACATTCTTTTCACCTGCCCCTTTTCCTTTCCTGCCTTTTTGTTTTATTTTATTTTATTACTACTTCTCATCATCAAATTATATTATTTCACCCTTTGGAACATTACTTAACATACTTTTAATTGCAAGTGACAGTAAGACCTATTCAGGTGGGATTAAACAATAAAAAGACTTTATTGATTCATGTACTTAAGCCCAGAAATAGGGCAGTTTTGGGGAGTGGATTGACTGAAAGATTCATGTCATCAGGACTCAGGTTCCATTTCCCTTCAGGTTCCATTCCTCTTTCTTGACTCTGCTCTCTTGTATGTATAGGCTGAATAGTTTTAACAATTCCTAAATTCATATCTGTATGTCACACCATCTGGGATAAGAGAGCATACCTTGGTCCCAGCATTCCCAGTAAGAGAAGTCCTTAGAAAGTCCTCTTTCTTTTTTGTTTTGTTTTGTTTTAGAGGTTTTTGGGTTTTCTTCCTCTTTTTTTGGTTTGTTACCCAGGATAGAGTGCAGTGGCATCATCATAGCTCACTGCAACCTCTAACCCTGGAATCAAGTGATCTTCTTGCTTCAGCCTCCTGAGTAGGTGGGACTACAGGCACATGTTGCCACACCTGGCTAATTTTTCTATATTTTGTGAGACAGTTTTTGCTCTTGGTTGGGCTAGTCTCTTAACTCCTGCCCTCAAGCAATCCTCCTACCTGGCATGGGATTATAGGCATAAGATTTGTTCTTTTTTGAGCTGCCATAGGGCACAATGCCCATCCCAAACTGGCCTGATAGCATAGGTTGTCTCCTAGAGCCTGGAATGGTGTGAGCTTTCTCTGATTTGGATCCTAAAAATAAAACAGGGCTTTTGGGGAAGTAGGAAATGAATGCGTGATGGAGCAACATCAGATGTCTCTGTTATCTTTTTCCATATTCAAAATTATTCATTCCACAATTGAACTTCCTATGTGGCAGGCATTCTGCTGGCTCTGAGGAAATAGAATCTATAATGTAAGCCTAGAACATAGACCCTTTCCTCAGAACTCACGAAAGAGGGGAACTGATTATAATATTTTAATGTTAACTCTTCTAAGCATTTCAAAAAAGGTGAGGTGTACTTTTATTAATATTTAATTAAAAATGTATGCCGAAGTCTGTAAAATTCTTGTATCTGTAATATTTCAAATTTACTATATTAGTGAATGCAGTGCAAAATTCTTAAATTTTTTTGTTTACTAGATTTTAATCTTTTTCTTTAAGGGAAATTAGTCGAGCTGCAGGAAAAGCTGTGCCTGGAATCATTGATGAAGAAAGCAGTGGCAACAATGCCCAGTGAGTGTGTTTTCTTTTCTTTTTTTTTCTGCATACTTGATTTTTTTTTTTTTTTTTTTGTAGAGACAGAGTCTCACTTTATCGCTCTCAGTAGAGTGCCATGGTGTCACACAGCTCATAGCAACCTCCAGTTCCTGGTTTAAGCGATTCTCTTGCCTCAGCCTCCTGAGTAGCTGGGACTACAGGTGCCTGTCACAACGCCCAGCTATTTTTTTGTTGCAGTTTGGCTGGGGCCGGGTTTGAACCTGCCATCCTCAGTATATGGGACCAGCGCCCTACTCACTGAGCCACAGGCGCTGCCTGATACTTGATATTTTTATTTACTTATTTTTTATTGTTTGGGATTCATTGAGGGTACAAAGAATTAGGTCACACTGATTGAATTTGTTACCTAAAGTTCCTCTTATAATTGTGTGCGCTCCTAAGAGAGTGTGTTTTCTGAGGCCACCTGAGGATATGTTTATCATTTTGATGAGTTTTCTTTTTCAAAATGAAAGAAGTTTTTATTTCTGATTACAAAAGTAATTCTCACCAAAAAAAAAAGAAAAAATAAAAACATTTGAACGGTTCAAAAGGAAGAAAGTAGAGGTTCTGCACTATAAGTCTGTGCCTCTCCCCTGAAGATAATCAATCATAACATATATTAAAATTTCCAGATTTTTTTTTTATTGATAAAGTCATAGGTAAGTACTTCTTTTTGAATGACTGTCTTAAATTGGTTATATCTTAATTTATCTACCTACCCCCTTATTATCAGACATTAAGTTAGTTTACAATGTTTTGTTTTAATAATACCACCTGATGTTTACCAAGCATTTACTATGTGACAGGCACATATTACCTTATTACCTTAATCCTTACAACAATCTTGGAAGGTTAGAGATGAGATAAGCAGAGATAATTGCCCAAGTTCACAAGACTGCTTAGATTCAGTCATTGGCAGTCTGCTTCAGAGTGTGTATTCTTCTTTTTTTTTTTTTTTTGAGACAGAGCCTCAAGCTTATCCCCCTGGGTAGAGTGCAGTGGCATCACAGCTCACAGCAGCCTCCAACTCCTGGGCTCAAGTGAGTCTCCTGCCTCCGCCTCCCAAGTAGCTGGGACCACAGGCACCCACCACAACGCCCCGCTGTTTCTTTTGGTTGTAGCCATCATTGTTGTTTGGCGGGCCTGGGCTGGATTCGAACCTGCCACCTTAGGTGTATGTGGCTGGCGCCTTAGCCACTTGAGCCATAGGTGCCGAGCCCAGAGTGTGTGTTCTTAACTTCTACTCTATGTTTTGAGTGCTTGTGCTAATGTTTTAGTAGGATAGTTTCTTAGCAGTGAAATTTCTGGGTCTGATGTCTTCCAACTGATACATTTGCCAAATGTGATACCAGATAGCCAAATAGCTCTTTAGGCAGCTTATATCTGGTACAGTCCCTAAAAACACACCCCTTTTTCCTCTCTTGCTGGCATGGAGTATTCTAGTTAAAATGATACTTCTTTTTAAAAATTTACATTTCTTTGATTATTAGTACTTGGAATGTTCTTTAACATCTATGGGCTTGGCTGTAATCCAGCTATGATCATGCCTGTAGTCCTAGCACTCTGTGAGGCCGAGTTGGGTAGATTGCTTAAGCTCACTAGTTTGAGATCAGCCTGAGCAAAAGCGAGACCCCGTGTACTAAAAATAGAAAAACTGAGGCAAGAGGATCACTTGAGCCCAAGAGTTGGAGGTTGCTATGAGCTATGATGCTATGGCACTCTACCTAGGGCAATAGCTTGAAACTCTTATCTCAAAAAAAAAAAAAAAAAATGTCTATGGGCTGATTGTATTTCTGTGAGTTTTCTTTTCTTTTCTTTCTTTCTTTTTTTTTTTTTTCGTGGAGACAGAGTCTCATTATGTCCCCCTTGGTAGAGTGCCATGGCATCACAGCTTACAGGAACCTCCAACTCCTGGGCTTAGGTGATTCTCTTGCCTCAGCCTCCCAGTAGCTGGGGCTACATGTGCCTGCCACAACAGCTGCTTTTTTGTTGCAGTTTGGCCGGGGCCAGGTTTGAACCCACCACCCTCAGTATATGGGGCTGGTGCCCTACTCACAGAGCCACAGGTGCCACCCTCTGTGAGTTTCCTGTTGACTGCTTTTTAACCATTTTTCTATGATAGTTTCTCTTCTCTTATTCATTGATAAGAAATGTGTTGCAGATATACATTTGTGTATGTTTGTGTGTTAGAAATATTTTTTCCAGCTTCCTTTTTTACTTTGGGGTATTTTACCCCATATAAGGTGACATTTTTATATAGTTAAAGCATGTTACAAAATTCTAGTAATTCTACAGGCTCAGCGCCTGTAGTTCAGTGGTTAGAGCACCAGCCACATACACTGGGGTTGACTGGTTTGAACCTGGCCTGGGCCTGCTAAACAACAATGACAAATACAACAACAAAATAGCTGGGTATTATAGTGGGCATCTGTAGTCCCAGGTACTTGGGAGGCTGAGGCAAAAGAATCACTTGAGCCCAGAGTTTGAGGTTGCTGTGAGCTGTGATGCTACAGTACTCTACTGAGGTGACATAGTGAGACTCTGTCACTAAAAAGAAAAACAAATAATTAAAATAACATAGTACAAGAGAAGAAATAGTTAAAAGTAAATAATACTGATTAGAATCAGACCTAAAACATATAGTATTTGGAGGATGGGGGTTATTTGTATATAGTAAAAGTGGCATTTCAAATTGAGGATGGATAGTGTAGTCCATCCATACATTTGAAGAAACATTTCCATTTTCACATTATACACCAAAATGTTTTCCAGATAGGTTAAAAATTTAAATATTAAAATTGAAACTATAAAAGTAGTAAAGGAAAACAACAGGTGAATATTTTGTGATCTTTCTTAGTATGAAACCAGGGTAAAGTCATTAAGGAAACATATATACCAGCATATTTCACAGATACTATTTTTGACATTTAAGAAGTAATCAAGTCCTTAACTTAGTATCAGCTTATCCAGTTGGTATAAGTAAAAAAAAAAAATGTAGACTTGAAGTTAGAAAGAATTATAAGTTTCTGATTCCATCTCTTAGTTGCAAAGGGTGACCCAATGGAAAGTGCCTCTTAGCATCTGTTTCTATATCTGTATAAGGCAGTGGTCCTCAACCTTCCTAATTCCATGATGTATTTTATTTGTTACAAAGGGGTTGCAACCCACAGGTTGAGAACTGCTGTTATAAGGGAAACAATAGTAATCTTACAGAGTTGCTAGAAAATTTCAGTGAAGTGATGTTTGTGAAAGTGCATTGTAAGGTGTAAGGCATAGTGCCCTGCCTCTTGTTGCACTGTAGAGTTAATTGATGTGAAGGGCTAATGTCTGGTTGTTTGTTTCCTACATTATCCAGAATGCAGCACAGCCTCCTGATAGTCCTTGAGATGTGAACACCCAGTCCTGCTTCATGTTTTGAAATATCTTGGCATATTAGAATATCGAATGCTCATTTAGTGTCACTTCTTATCATGTCCCTTCTCTCACTCTGCTGTAGCCATACTGATTTTGTTTCAATTCATTGAATATGCTACGGTCGTGCTTACCTTAGGGACTTTACGTAAGCTGTTTCCTTGTCCAGGAATGGTCTTTCCCAAAGTTTTTAGCCAGCTAATCTTAATTATTCATGTTTGGTTTGGAAAAGTTCTGTTTGGGGGATGGATGTTTAAATGGTATACTTCAAGTTTTATCAAAATGTCAGTCTCATTGATTGTTTAGTAGTAATAAAAGAAATAGAAGAGTGTAAATAATAGTTTATTTATCATATAACTCAGGTGTCTGTTCTCCCCTTTGCCTTAAGAATCATCTTTCTTGAGTGCATTTGGGGACAGTGTTAGAAAGAGGTGTGCTTTGACATCCATAGGACTGTTTCTCCCAGTTACTTTTCTTTCTTCTTGGGAAACTGTTCATTTTCTTTTCCTGCTGGCCTAGAACTCATGGGCTGTGGTCCCCCTTGCTGGGATACTCCTGGGGTAAGGGTAGAAGGGGGAGAACAAAAATGTGGGCCAGATACCACTTTCTCTGTGGTATGAGCACGAAGTCATAGGGTAGACAAGACTCTAGTGAAGGGATGGGGAAAACTAACATTAGAGGGAAATATTTTAAACTTAAGCTATAAAGAATTTTTTCACATTCTAAAGGAAAAGATAAATTGAAATCTCTGTAGGGGACTCTTCATGGGTGCTTCCTCTGTTCCCCTCCCCCCAAACTTCCAACCTTATTTGCTCATCTTTAGATCTTCTGTTTCTCTCCATTCTGAGAGTGCTTCCTTCAACAGCTACCTTTGCAGAGTTCCCTCTGTCTTTCAGTAAAACCCTAGCCCCTCCTAAATGGTTTGACCTCACACCAGGATATACACCTTACTCTGCTCCTCTATCCCACACCCTCTCCAGGAGCTCCTTGTCCTAAGTCAGACCAATTCACTAGATACTCCAAGTTTTTTTTAGGACAATGGAGAATAGAGGAGACACTCCAAGACAGGTCTGTGAGGAAGTGTCCAAAGTGGGGCTAGTAACATATGCTTCCAGTGACCAACATTAGTTCTTAGATTTAAGACCAGCCAAATCTGGTCTTAAGTCTTTCTATCTTACCTTTAAGATAATTATTATGCAGAGTGGTGCCTGTGGTTCAGTGGGTAGGGGTGCCGGCCCCATATACCGGGGGTGGAGGGTTCGAACCCGGCCCCAGCCAAACTGCAACAAAAAATAGCTGGGGGTTGTGGCGGGCAACTGTAGTCCCAGCTACTCGGGAGGCCAAGGTAGGAGAATCGCCTAAGCTTAGGAGTTGGAGGTTGCTGTGAGCTGTGATGCCACAGCACTCTACCAAGGGCAATAAAGTGAAACTGTCTCTTAAAAAAAAAAAAAGATAATTGTTATGCAGAGCTGATTCATGTATTGCTCTGCTTCTCTTCTTAGATCAGCCCTCATCTTCTTCCTTCCTCATCCATTAGAGGCTGCTGACTTCTCCCAATTAAACTCATTTATACCTTACTGTTAATTTACATTCATGTTTGTTAAAATGCTTTGTTAAACTTGCAGCTAGAATTGTCCCAATCTTTGAGTTAAGGAACAAAGCTTAGAAGAAATGTGTTTGATGGTGGATCAAAGAGAACACTGAGATTGCTCAAGAAACACTGAGATTATTTTCAGAATTTTTATATTCATTTTTTAAAAATTTGAACGTTTAATTTTTTACAGGGCTCTCACCTTTGTCTATCCTTTTGGTGCCACATTGAGTGTCATGAAACCAGCAGTGGCTGTTCTGTCTACAGGCTCTGTCTGCTTTCCACTTAACAGACCCATCCTGGCTTTCTATCACTCAAAGGTACAACCTTTTGTAGATATGGATGTGTATGTTATTTTTACTATTGAAATAATAAAAACTACCTTGTCATTGCCAGAGGGTTTTCATATATTTTGTCATTGATGTTCACACCACTATTTCAGTTATCTACATTTTACTTATGGGGAAACTATGGATTGTCCAGCAGTTGATATTAATCACAAACTAAACCTAGGTCTTACTATTGTAAATCCAAAGCTTTTCCACTGTAACATGAGGATGTCTGTATTATAATTTTTTTTTGGAAACAGAGTCTCACTGTATCACCCTGGGTAGAGTGCTGTGGCATCACAGCTCACAGCAACCTCAAACTCTTGGGCTTAAGCTATTCTCTTGCCTCAACTTCCCAAGTAGCTGGGACTACAGGTGCCCATCACAATGCCCGGCTATTTTTTGGTTGTAGTTGTCATTGTTTGGTGGGCCTGGGCTGGATTTGAACCTGCCAGCTCCAGTGTATGTGGCTGGTGCCC